TCTGCACATAGCAGGGGTTTGAAACTAGATGATCATTGTGGTCCTTTTCAACCCAGACCATTCTGTGATTCTATGATTCTTCCCAAACTATGGCATGAGCACCTGGCTTACTTTGCATTTGGCAATGCAATGGGGTTATTAAATATACTATATTGATGGATATGCGGTTTACTAAGCACGAAACTTCTTGCTTATACTTGTGACTTTTGTGTCTTTTGTCTAAAACTTGTAACTTGATTTATACAAGAGGAACCAGGTATACCTTATAAACTGCCGAGTTTTGTGTGATCACATGACACTAGCGTAATATATTTCAGCATTTCTTTCTTGATTTCTGACTTACACGTCTTACTAGCTGGACAGAGTTTGAGGGGGAAAAAAAAGGCAACTGCTCATTTGATAAAATCATGATACACTGATCCTGTGAGTAATGTATGCATGAGTTAACTCCAACAACGATTTCCTCTGCCAGATCTAATTCCCAAGTCTAATTCTGAGTGACTAACAGCCTCTTCCTGGAAAAGAGGTGGTAGTTATCAAAATGAGTCAGAACCTTTAAGTGAAGGAGCTCAACTTGGCAAATTACAAACATTGGACTTGGTACAGTTAAATGCTAGGCTTGGTCCAGTTGAACAGATTTTGTCAGGCAGTTAAAATTGACCTGAGGTCCTGAGACTGCAGCTACGCAGCTATGGTGAACACAGAGCTGCAGGAGGTAGCGACATCCTCAGCTCTTCCCCACTGTCATTACCTGTTATCTGGGCTACCACTTAACAAATACGGCTAAAAATTAAGCTTTTATTGTGCTCCCCCTCTGTCTACTCAGGTTGCAGTGCTGGCTTATGGCTGGGTGTATTCAGGGCTGGACAAATCCCTAGTTTTAAGTTGTGCTGCAGGCTGTCATGGTGACTGCTGCTACTTCCTACATGCCCTACCTACTGTGAATAATTGTGTAAAGCTGTATTTGAAGCCCTCCACAATTAGTGTAAAAGCACTATATAAAGTCCTTTGTGATGTCTGATTGTTCCATGTGACTACCATAGAATTTAGTAAAATCAGTATTAGAAAAAACTTTCAAAAAAGTACCGGAATACCTTTTCTTTGTTTAAATTTGAAACCATAGGTTTTGAATGTGCCTTCCTTTGTTACGAGATCTTAATGTTATATGCTACTGGGATTTTTGTACACTTGCTCTTGCATGGTACACATAACAATTACAGGAAGGCTGTTCTAAAGTTGACTGAGCTGACAATGTCTTGTGATCTGTATATTTGATCTGATTGATGGAGATTCCTAAATGAGGATCATACTGACTACTTCAAGATCTAACATGAAGAAAAGAACAAAAATGAATTCTTGAATAAGAAGTATTACGGGGATATGTTCTACTGTGGATTTGCATTGCCACTCTGAAGGACTTATTTTTCATTCTGAAGCAGAATGCACATCAAATACTTGTTTTTTCTTTTTTTTTTTTTCCCTAACAGATGCAATTTTTGTTCTTCCTTCTGAGCTGATAGCGCCGGTTGTTGTCACCTTCTTGGTGTGGCAGCTGTCTGTCTGTTGAGGTTGTCCCATCACAGAAGGGAAGCGTGCTATTTCCTACAGTGTGCAAGAAAGCACTGCATGTGCACTTAATGCTGTGTGTCCACTGATGTTACCAGAGCAGTTCTTGACTACTTGTGGTATTGCTGCATGTGACAGTCTGTCCATGGCAGTGTCTGATTCAGGTACTCCTTTATCACTGATGGATGGAATCCTTATTCTCTGGATATCTAAGCACCACTAGGAGGAAGACTGGCAAAACTGTGAGGTCTCACATATAGCCCATAAGCTGAAGTGAAAATAACAACATCGACTGAGAACTTGACTGTTGGCTTGGCCAGCAGGGTGGCCTTTCTCTGCCAGTGATTGATGTTCCTGTCATTGATGGTCCAGTGATTGCTGTGCTTAAAGTTGTAGTCATCATTCTTTATATTGGCAGCATTCATTATAATTAGAGTGGCTGAAGATTATTATTATTTTTAATATTATTTCAGTGTTACATCCTTGGGAGTAGTGTTTTCACATATCTTACTGTAATGCTGTCAGGGCTGGCTGTTCATAATTCTAAAAACTTCCTTTTTTTTCTGTAATATTTGGAGGTTCACAGCTTTGCAGTTAAACTGAAACTTGCAGGATTGGCAGCGCTTCCTTTTTTGTGCTCGTGGAACATACAAGTGAGATCAGGAATACTTAGCAACAAAGGCTGCCATTTCATGAGATTTTTGGATGAGTAAGTATATCTTAGACAGGAGCAAATGCAGATGTTTCATAAATATCCCCGCAAAGCTGTAATACTCCAGAAATAATTAATACCTGATGGAGGGGGAAAACTCATGTCTGACACTCTGGTTTGCTTGTTAATTGTAGCCGTTCTTGAGAATTTGTATGAGGATAGTCAGTGTGCTCCCTGTGATTTGACTGGGCAAGATACCAGGGTAAGGAGCTGCAGGAGCTGCCGGTGAACATCCAAATGGAGCGTACCCATTTTTGGAGGTTTTCCAAGATACACGTTCTTGCAGGAGAGAGAAGAATCTAAAGCATACCGTAGTAACAGTGATATGTCATCTGCCTTTTGCCACAGAATGGGAGGTTCTGATTATGAAAACTGATGATCGCAACTGCTAAGATAATTTTACTGATGGTAGCAGAATTTAAACAGTCTCTCCTTAAGTCTGTGGATGGCTTCAGGGAGCAAATGGAGAACAGCAGGGCTGAGAGCAGTTTCACTGCAGCGTCCTCCCACAAATACCAAGCAAGCATGCTTCTTGTGGTAAAATAGCCTTCCTCAGAGTACTGCTGGTGCAGAACTTCCAGCATAATGGGAAGCATTCATGCACTGAAGTCCATCAGCAAGTTCTCCTACACAGTGTACTGTGTGCAGGCACTTGCCAAAGTTTCTGCGTCTCCTCCACCTGACCTTTTGTTCATCTCTCGACTTCCCTGCTACTTGCGTGTACTTTTTCATACCTTAAGACGAGCCTGCATAGAAGCCTTCTCCTTTAACTCTGCTGTTTTTTCATACCACCTTAACTGGTTGCAATGGGTTAATGGAGCTGCAGGCTAGCCAACCTGAGCACCTCGAATTGGCACTGCCTGAGGGCAGGCTGTGAGGCTGCTGCTCCCCGGTGCTGATTTTGGAGGCAGCAGCAAGCACTCCTCCTGCTGTCCACGTTCAGAAAACTGTCCTGGCTGTGCTGTGTTCAGCTACAACCCCTGCTGTGCACGAGGTAGGACAAGGGCTGCTCCAGCCACAAACCGGTGGAAACAGTGCATACATTAAGCCTCAAGATTTCATGTTGTATTTCAGGGTAATCCAGTACAGTAGCTGTGCCAGTGCTGTCTGCACGCAGTGGGCTCACAGTGTGTTTGCTAAAACATAAGGCTTATCACATGGCCTTTCCATCTTCAGATACAGAACTAGGAAGTGACACAGTCTGAAGGGTTTGCCCAGAAGAGGTACTCACAGACAGACACCTCTTTGCAGCTTGTAAATCTTCTGAAGTCACAAAATTTTATTTCCTGTGAAAAAGTCAGAATGAAATTTTTGCACCTTCGTAGTGTTGTTTTTTTCAGCTTCCCACTTTAAAACAGTGAAAACTCAAATTGTGTTTTCTTCTGGCAGCTGGAGAACAAAAAACCAGTTAGCTGTAAGCAGGAAGCCCCAGACTTTAATGAGGCTTCTGTTCCTAATATAGGAACTTGCATCACAATTTGCGAGTCCTGCAGGAGTGGGTTTACAGAGCAGAACAGCTGAGGATGCAGCTGTGGTCCTCACCACATATCAGAGGAGGTTGCCTTATGCTGCCTCTACGCATCCATGGGCTCACTTGTAATTACAGGTTGCAATCTGGTGCATTTAGTTAATGAATAAAAATATTTGAGATTCACTTCACAATTCTGAATGAAGTTTAAAATTTTAATCTAGATACTGTTTGCAGTGGCAGGTAACAGTCCGTTATGATTCATCCCAGTGAGAATGACTCTGCAAAGCAGCATTTAGAATGCTGCTTATTAGAGATAGCAGTACAAGGAAATACAGTGCAGTGCAGACAACCTCACGTTCCTATGGATGCCTGAACCCTGAGCTGCAGCATTGAACATCCGTATGGTGCACTCAGTTCAGACCCCATCCTTGAACCTCATTTTGGATGTGGTTGAGGCAGATGCATGGTGTTACTGCTGCCTGTAGGCTCTTTTGTTATCATTAGCTGGGGAAGTTTATCCTGCACCCATGGAATGTGTGGAGCACAGGGTTGGGTATGCTGAGGTTGGCTGTCACATGGGTCATGAACTCCTCCACATACAGTGGTCTTCTGGTCAAGATTGCCCCAGTGCGTTCAGAACTGGTCCTCTCCCCCATGTCCCTCATACTGGTAGGTGATGATATATATTTATTTAATTTGCTTTCTTTTGTAATCACATAATGAGAAGTAGTTCAAGTTGTGAGCGTATTAAAAAGCTTTGCTATTCAGACATTTTAGGTACACTGAGGATGGGTACGTATGGCAAAAGTAGGTGATCAGAGTACCTTCTAGTGGGATACAAACTCTATGGAACAATAGCAGTTTTGTTTTTTAAAAAAAGAGAAAACTAGCTCACTACTTCAGATGACTGGTAACAACTCAGTCTCTATCCAGAAGGATGCTACTCCTTGGCTGCTAACCTGTAAATGATGCTGAGGAGGGGTGGATCCAGGCTCCCCCCCTGCTGATCAAGGTGGATTGCTTGCACCTGAACTCCTGGGTTACCTACGCCTTCCCACCTGGTGCTCAGCCATTCGTTCAGGCTGTGACCTGGCAGTTCCACTGCAGGGTTTGCATTTTAGGGTTGTTTTTTTTTTTTTAAGAGCATTGTTATTAAATGATGAGTATTCACGTGTAACTATAGAACTGAGATGTAAAATGTCATCGCTGTAGATGCTATTGATCTGCTCACTCATTTTGTTTTCCTTACAGAATCAAGGCCATTGAAAGTCCCAATAAAGACGATGACACACAGTGGCTGACTTACTGGGTTGTGTATGGTGTTTTCAGCATAGCAGAATTCTTCTCTGATATCTTTCTGTCCTGGTTCCCTTTCTACTACATGCTGAAGGTATTTCAGTTAATGTACCACCACCCCTCCTAAAATATAGACCTACAACCTAACTACTTTAATGTATTCAAGAATAAATAGATGTCAGCAGTTTCCCTCAGAATGACTCCTCGGTCACATTTTATTTTTAAATGTTGGTTACACTTTAAAAATATATATATAACGGTATGCTGGAAACCTCACAAAGAAATACAGAACTATTTATGTTATTCAGATGAGTTTCAGACGATGTAGTGCTTGCTTTGAAAGCTCTGTCTTTCCACTGCTGGTGATACTGATGTGAAAACAGGAAAACTGAAATACAAACTATATAAATAAGTACTATTTGCCACAGTTAGTGAAAAGTAGCATTACTGTTTTAATTTCAAAGCAGATCACTAAAGTTGCTTATAGTTACTCTGAATTTTAAATGTCTAGTTTGATACTTCTATACATACTTTCAGAGCTCAGGCAAATGTAGTTGTGGCACTTCCTGTATTTGAGTGTTTTGACATTATTTTATATAGCCACCTTTGTAGTGTGTATGACGTTGGAACTGAGGACATATAAAGGTGCTTCTGTGATGAGGAGGCATGTAGAATTGGAATTGTAGGTTTTTTTTGGTTGGGTTTGTTGGTTGTTCCTTTTTTTTTTTTTCTTTCCTTAGAGAGCAAATTGTAGTATAAAAGCTCTATATAAACTGTGCAATCCAAAACAATTACCTGGTCTTGCACAGTGTGTATCTGTATCTTTTCATCATGTTGTTTTACCATTGGGATGCAAGCAAACACAGTCTTTCCCCTGCAACATGTCAGGGTGAGGAAATAGAGATATATATCTTAGCTTGATCTAAGTGATGGAAGAACGTAAACCATCAGTTGTGCCACATAAGTCAGAAGTAGCTAGAGACTAATGTTTTGTCAGCTTTTATACTACTTCTGTACCTTAGGATAAAAGAAAAACAGTATATGCAGTCTTGATACACTTTTTATCAGTTCTGTTTTACTGCTACAGCCCACCATCTTCATCAGTATGCATAAAATTATTATATAAAGATTTATCGTGTGAAACAACTGATGTGCATGCTTACAGGCTGTGGCCATACAAAACGGGGTTGATGTAGTGTTTTAAATAAATACACTGAAGTCTGTGGCAGAGTTAGGAGGGCACATTCCCCTAGTCTCCTACTTTTCTACTGATGCAGCTGCTCTTCTTCCTCCTAGTGTGGCTTTCTGCTCTGGTGCATGGCTCCCAGTCCCTCTAATGGAGCAGAGTTCCTCTATCACCGAATCATCCGGCCCTTTTTCCTGAAGCACGAGGCTCAGCTGGACAATGTTGTCAAAGACCTGAAAGACAAGGCTGCAGAGACTGCAGATACCATTGCTAAAGAAGGTGAGTAAATGACTGTTCACTGATCACACCATGTAGGAAGAATTTTCCTTTGCAGCTCTAGTCTAAAAGTTAATATTCACCATTTCTGGATTAAAAAAATCCCTAAAAGATTATTCTGTCGGCTTTAATGAAGAAATTAATTTGTGTGAAGCTATCAAGAGAAGAGAATTCAAGTGAATTTTGCTTTCTAGGGTTAGAGTTATGCTAGAGTAAACACAAGCTGTATGAGTATAAGAAACAACTAAATAGGTGCAGTATCTTCCCAATATACATAGCGTTATCAACACTCTCTCTAGGCAGGTGTCTAAACATCCTCACAAGATATCTTGCATAAAAACAGTCATTGTTTCTGTGTATTCTTGCATCTTTTAAAATACTGCCATTTCCAGTACCTGGTACTGTAGAAGAGCTGCTACTTGTCCAGTCCTTGAACTGTAGCAAGTGACAACACTTGAAATGAAGGTTTCCTGTCAGTAAGATTTTGTATTTTCCCTTCCTTTGGAAATTGAAGATTTCTGAGCCAATTCTTAACTTAGATTTTTATTTGGTTGAATAATATAAGCCTGGAGTTGTGTAACTTTTGCTTTCATTGCCTTGCATTGAAAATTGGACACTTGAAAATATCTGATGGTAATTTTATGAATAAAAGAAGAGAATGTAAGTAGCTGAAAAAAAAAATCATTTTAAATAAATTTTATCTATTAGATACCTCAAAGCACATTATATCTCCTTTATCCCAAACAAAATACGCAGTTTGATTTCTTTTTATAAGCTGCTTTTCTTGAATGAACACTACTTAAATGGTCTGCCTTTCTCAACTACTCTTGGAACTTTTGCTGCTTTTGCCTTTCTGGATTATTATTGTTAGATAGGTATCTTAAACATTAATGACCTTCCATGTTGCTTATGTCTCATTTTCTCACTTATTCCTTTTAGTTTATTCTCCAATATATCACTTATTCTTTTGGTAAATACCTGAAGGGAGGGTGCAGAGAGAACTGAGCTAGACCGGTTTCAGTAATGCCCAGTGCCAGGGCATAAACTGGAGCACAGGAGGTTCCCTTTGAAACCAGGAAGCACTGCTGTGCTGTGCTGGTGATGAAGCACAGGCTGCCCAGAGAGGTCTTGGAATCCTCCCTAGAGGTCTCCGAAAGCTGACTGGATGTGGTCCTGGGCACCCTGTTCTGGGTATCCCTGCTGGAGCAGGGGCTGAGCCATATGGACCCAGAGGACCCAGCCAGCCTCAGCCATTCTGTGATTCTGTCATTGTATGATTCTTCCCTGCTTTACCATAAAATGGTTTCACGTTCATACCTCTTTAAGAAGTAATGCACAAAAACACATACTCTAGCATTGTTCCATCCCCATTTCAGCAGTTTGATTCTTGTCTTGCTATAAGCCTGTATGTTCTAAGGACCATCAGCAGCTCTTATTTTCTCAGTAAAATAATTGTAATTCACTTTGTGCTGTTAATTATGCTGCTCCTGGGATCTGGTTTAATTTTGAATAAAATAATAGTTTTTGTAGTTTCATCACTAAAAGCTATTATTTCCTTTTGTAGTGTAACAGGTAAATAATTTATTTCTGCAGCTCATGAACACTGAGTAAGCTGCTTAAGAATGTAGGAGCACTGCTAAGATTAAACTTTTATTTTTCTGCAGCCAAGAAAGCAACAGTGAACTTGCTGGGTGAAGAGAAGAAGAGCACTTAAAACTTTTAACTGGATAAAGCTTCCCAACCACCTTTATTATGAAGCTTGATGTTATGGGGATCTGTGGTATAATTTTAATAATGTTGCCTTGAAAATGTTTTGATATATTAAAGGAATGTGATATAAGTTTGCTTGCTAGTTTGCTGTTGTCTGCATAGAATTAATGCATTTTTATTTAAAAGTAATGCAGTGGGCAGTATCTGAAATTTAATGAAAATATTTTATTAGTCTTCATGGAAAAGTCTTACAGTAATCACCTTCTCCAGTAACATAAATAAAAAGTATATATCTCAGAGCCTCTGCACTTCAGTTGTCTCTTTGTGCATGTAATTACTTTCAACGTTGACTGTGTTGCATCTAGTAACATGACATTATTTTGCAAGGAAGATATTCATCTGAACAGATTTTCTGGAATATACAGAGAATTACTGAGACAGCTGGTGTAGCAAATTTATTCCTTGCTAGTAAAGTTATGAGTGATGATAGGCATCTCGTGATAGAGACTATGTAATGTTGCATGTTTCAGTATAACATAATATTTACTACAGTGTTCATTTGCTTGAATGGATAGATACAAAATGTGGGAAGAGTAGTTTTATTCAAGTGATCAGGCTTATATTAGTGTGGGGTTATTTGCCAGACAGGGATGCATTATAGTGCAGAAGATAAGCACAAGATGACTAAAGATGGCATGTACTTGCTATCTCTTTCTAAATAAAGTTGTCACCTAAAATTGTAAATGGAGTGCCTCATAATATCACACTCAAAAGCATAAACCACCTTTCATAAGGAGTGCCATTACAAACGCTTGTTTCTGTGGTCCTTTTGAAGTTTTTACTGTCTCAGGTGTTTGTTGGTCTCCAGAACTGCATTGTTACTGGATCAGCCTGGAACCTCGCCAGGCTTTTTGTGCGCATTAACATCTGCAGTCTGTTCTGATTGTCCAAGAAAACTTTGTGTGAGCAGTGAAAATTCCAGAGTAGAGATACAGATTTCTTCATGTATCTTCATTTCCTCGTGACCAATTGGTAAGAATGGAGCTAAAATAAAGAGAATAAATGCTTTTTCACAATTGATGGCTTTTTTTTTTTTTTTTTTTTTTTTTTTTTTTGTAAATCTGAAGCTGTACTTACTATTTCACATTACAGTATTTTCAAGAAATACAAAATTACTGAAGTCATGGTTCTCATATCCATGCTGGTATGTCTTCGGAGCATGCAGTAGTGCTGTGACTGTTCTTAACTCACAAAACACAGACAAGACAGAAGGCAAACTTGAACTTCTGATGTGATAAGAAGTCATAATCTCTGGTCCTCAATCTTTAAATTAAATAGTAAATCTTAAAATGGACTCCTGAGGATCTTGGGATTTTCTCTGAGTTGGTGTAGGATTATTCACTAATTTTTCAGGCACAAGAACCATAAACGAGCATGCAGTTTGTCAGCAGATTTAGCTTTAAAATTGAGAAATGCCTATTATAAAAAGCGATGTAATAGTGTCTTAAGAGTATGCATGTAAAACATCAGGCTGTAAAACAATCCCTTACAGCTGTCAAAGAGCAAGGTGAACAGGGAAGTATGAGATCCACTACGCATCATTTTCTGTAGGACAGCATACAGTTTGTCATTCGTTAGAAAAATGAATAGTATTGCAGCTTATGATTTGCCAACATTATTTTATTATGTGTGGATATGCTGTAGAGAACACATGGTAAAGCAAACTAGTAGCTGTGAGCTACAAAGTTTAAAGTAACCTACAAATTTGGTGGTTTCATTTCTTGTCCTGTTTTTCGGTCTTTTACCTGCTTTTCTGTAAGCCATAGTAAATTATAATGTTGTGTTTTAAACGCTGTTACAGAATCACAAAATGGTTGAGGTTGGAAGGAAGTATTTGGGATTATCTAGTCCAACCTCTTTGCATCAGGGTCATATTTTGCCCAGGATCACATCCAGGTGGGTTTTGGTTTCTCCAGTGACAGAGACTCCACAACCTCTCTGGGCAGCTTTTCCAGTACTTTGTTAAGCTCTCAGTAAATGAACTTTTCCCTTGTGCAGATGGAACTTTTCATGTTCCAGTTTCGTGTTACACAGTTTCTTGCCTGGTACCACAGAAAACAGTCTGATTCCATCCTGGTGATTACCTTCCCTTAATGTATTTGTATACGTTAATAAGGTCTCCTCTGAATTTTCTCTAGCTGAGCAGTCTCAGGTCTCAGCCTTTTTTCATAAGGCTTCCAGTCATCCGCTGGACTTTCTCTAGAAGTTTCCTGTCTATTGAACTGAAGGACCCGGAACTGGACACAGCACTCCAGATGTGGCTTCACCAGGGAAGAGCAGAGGGGAAGGATCACTTCCCTCGACCTGCTGACCATGCTGTTTTTATGGCACCCCATGATACCATTGGCCTTGGCCACAAGGGCGCACCGCTGGCTCATAGCCAACCTGCTGTCTACCAGGACACCAAAGTCCTTCTCCACAGAGCTCCTTCCCAGCAGGTCAGCCCCTAATCTTTACACGTGGTTCTTCCTCCCCAGATGCAGGACTCTTCACTTGTTCTTACTGAACCTCATTAGGTTCCTCTCTACCCAACTCTTCTTCAATCTCTTTAGGTCTCACTGAATGGTAGCACAGTCCTCTGATGTGTGAGCCACTCCCACAGCTTTGTATTGTCAGCGAACTTGCTGAGGGTGGACTCTACCCCTTCATCCAGCTTACTGATGAAGATGTTGAATGAGACCAGAGCCAGCACTGACCCCTAGGGAACAGTACTAGTTACAGGCCTCTAAATGGACTGCACATCTGATTGTAAGCCCTGCTGTTCATCCAGTTTTTAATTCACCTGGCTGCCCACTCATCTAAACTGCATCTTCAGATTTTGTGAGGATGTCACAAGAGACAGTGTTGAAAGTCTAGCTAGGGGACACCCGCTGATCTCTCCCATCTAAGCAGCCAATCATTCTGTTGCAAAAGGCTAGGAGGTTGATTAAGCTTGATTTCCCCTTGGTGAATCCATGCTGACTGCTCCAATCACCTTCTTGTCCTCTATATGCTTAGAGATGACCTTCAAAATAAGCTGTTCCATTATCTTCCCTGAGATGAAAGTGAGGCCGACAGGCCTGTAGTTTCCTGAGTCCTACAGCCCAGTCAACCACATATAGAGGAGTTGCAGTCAGAGTAGTTTAGTTTCACCTCTTGAAATAATTTTAAATAAAGGTACTTAAAATTTTGATTCAGGTTACAAATTACTTGTCTGAGACCAACAAGGAACTTGCCCTGTGCTGACTCAAACAACTCAAGCAGAACACATTGCAAGAAGGGAAGCTAGAATGACGGATCGAGCCTTGCAGAGGCAGAGTGGCAACATGCTTTTCTCTACTTCTTCTTACGGACAGCACGTTTCCTCCTGTGGCTGAAAACCATCAGCTTGAGTAACTCCACACTGAAAAATACTGGTTTGAGCAAATCATTGAAGAGGGTGTGTAATAACTGGAGACCCTTGCTGAAGACTCCTGAAACTTTTAGAACATCTAACTGCAGAGACATGGGGGAGCTGACATCCCAGCGGCAATCTTGGACCATCTGTACTATATAAAAGTGGGCATGCACATTTATCTTTGTTGACTCACTACGCACAGATCAAGACAACACCAGATCTAAGGAATGGTGGAATACTTAATATCTCTCTCTTTGCTTCTCTTTCCTCTAGATCATCATCTACTCATTTTTCTTCAGCAGCCATTGCCTAAGTTTGCCTTAAGAGTAGTTGATAAGGAAAAAACATTCAGGCCAAGTACCCTATCCATAATGCCTGTAATTGCTGTTAGAGTATTACCTAATTTTGCTTCAAAGCAGTTGGTTAATTGTTGTTAGAAAGCTCAATAAACTGTATTGCATTGTTCCTCTGAGTCACTGTCTGACTGTTGCAGGGAGTGCCCTATTCAAGGGATTCCAAAGACTGACCTTCCTTACAAGCTGCTGAGTGGCATGAGGCAGTACTGAATAAGTCATTTCTCTAAAAGCTCTTAAATCTGAGACTTTCCATCACTAACCAAAGCAGATTCAAGACTTCCTTCTCAATTCCTCAAACTAGTCAACGTCTTCCACTGTCAGTTCATTGTCATCTTGCGCTCTTGCTTCCCTCTCTTGCTCTTCTCTCTCCAGAGAGCAGCAGTAACTAATAACCTCTGACCACCTCGTTGTTTCTAATAACAAAACCTTCAGCTGCTTCAGCAGTGTCCATGCTGTTGTTTGTGCCATGTGGCATTCCACTGGGCCAGAGAGCAACTCCCTCAATACAGAATGGCTTAGGTTGGAAGGGATTTAAAGTTTATTTCTAACCCCCTCTACTGGGCAGGGTTGCCATATCTGTGTGTGTTATCAGAGAGATAATCCAAAGATCACTTGTGTAGGAAGTCATATTAGCAGAAAAAAAAAAGGAAGATGTTTGTAACAGCCATGCCCAATTACAGCCTCAGAGAGTAAGATTTCCTTTCCAAAGTCATTCTGCTGTAGACAGTGTGTGTACTGGTAATCTGACAGTCAAGGGAGTGGCACGTGGAAGTCCACCAGGGCAGCTTCTAGATTTGATACAGTGGCACTGAGAATAAGCATGCACCCTCCTCCATTCAGTGCTGCAATAGAACGACACTTAAAATGTCCTACTAGAGGAAACACAACCGAGCCTCTTGTAAGTTGGGAGCTGCCATGCAGTCTGCTATAAATGCCTAGCAGCAGCAACTTTAAAAAAAAAAAAAAAAAAAAAAAAAAAAAAAA